AATAAAAGATCTCACTTTACACAACAAGAGTTTGTTAATGAAATGGCACTGGCGGTACAACATAGAGAACCCTGGGCTGTGGAAAGCTGTAATACAAGCAAAATATGGGGTGGCTAACAACTGGTGTACTAGACAGAGTAGACTGCCACATGGTTCTGGGCCATGGAAACACATTTCAAAGTTATGGGGTGACTTTCAACTCAAGTCATCACTCAAGCTTGGGAACGGAACTCATATTTCTTTCTGGAAAGATAAATGGTTAGGGTCAGAGATTCTGAAAGACGAACATCCAAGTCTATTTCTATTGGCCGGCAACAAGGATTCCACTATTGGGCATTATTGGCAAGATAACTCATGGGCATTGCAGTTCAGAAGAGATATCCAAGACTGGGAACTAAATGACCTGCTGAGATTGCTTTCAAAATTATCAGATTTTAAGGTCAACCCTCAGGTGAAGGACAAGCTGGAATGGGGAGATTCCAAAGATAGAACCTATACTGTCAAAAGAGGATATGACAATCTATGCTCCAATAAAGAGCTGATTGACAAATGGCCATAGAAGCTTATATGGAGAACCAAGCTCCCTATAAAAGTAATTGGTTTTATCTGGACAAGCCTATATGAAGCCTGCCTTACTCAAGACAACCTCAGTAGAAGAAGTATTCCTACAGTGAACAGATGTTTTATGTGCTAGGAGGAATCTGAGAGTGTGAGACATTTGTTTCTTCAGTGCACAGTAACAGCTGACATATGGAACATGTTTTTATCCGTTTTTGGACTTGTCTGGGTCATGCCTTACAGTATCAAGGATGCTTATGAGAGCTGGTGCTCATGGAGAGTTGAGAATTCCATCAAAAAAACTTGGCAAATGGTGCCTGCTACTATTTTTTGGTGCATCTGGAATGAGAGAAATCGCAGATGTTTTGATGGGATTTCAACTCCTAATCACTCTCTTAAAGCAACTTGTCTAATCAATCTATTTACTTGGTTCAACCAGGCCCCTGTAACTTGCTTTGAATCTTTTTTGGATTGTGTATGCTCCTTAGTTATACAGTAAGTTTTGGTATATGAGCAGCCACACTTTTGTTGTATATTTTTGCTATGCATCTTCTTGATGTCATTCAATGAAATTATCTTACTTCATCAAAAAAAAAAAGTGTGTATTACTGGCAATTATAATACGCATACAGAATCATATTTTTTTAATGTACATATAAGTACATTTCTTGTTATCAGAAGGAAATTGGTGAGTGATACAAAATTATGTTTAACATAAATTAAACGCTGCATTCAAGCAGTAAGAGAGTAGAGCTCCATTAATCGGGCTGACTGAGCTAGCAGGTATCTATTCAAGAATAATACTTAACATCTCAAACAATAGTTCGTATGTAGTGTGTACAAACAGGAACAACAGGAGAAGTTTGCAAGGGAATAGAGAGAATAATGATCTAAATAAGAGCTTTCATAGGATAAATAACACCAAATAAGAGAAGATAGTGTGACCTACCTTCACATCCATTCCCCTGCGCAGACTTCCAGCATGCACACGTCCAATAGCTATGCGCCCTTTATGTTCTTCGTAATCAATATTTGTAGCCTATAATTTTTAAATAGCAGTTAGATAAGAAAATAGATATTATGCCTGCTTTGAGTTAGTTGAGACATAAACTGGAAGCCCTTAAATACCTAAGCAAATTAATCAAAGCATAGGTACTTTTTGCAGGTCCAAACTGTGTCAAGATGATATCACATGATAAGAAACCATAGTTTGTTTCTATAAAACTGATAGTTTGCTTTGCCAGTCAACCATGAGAGCTGTTATTTTGTTTTCACTCCTTCACGAGAAAAACTACAAAGCACTTAATGGCGCAGAAGAGCCAACATCTGAGTAATCATTGTCACCACTCTAAGTTCTGTATATATAGATGATGTTTCTGCACTGGACCGTTGACCTACAAGGCTGATACTTCATACATGTGTGACTATCGAAAGACCCCCTTGAATAGAGAAATCAGTATTACTAAAAGTCATTTTATTCTTTTTCCTACGTAATTGCAGTCAGGGTATTTTTCAATGCTTCAACTGTTCCCAAAGCCTTCGACATTTCCCCACAACAAAGAGCTTCCAGCATACATCTTCATATAAGCACCCATAACACAAGGAACAAATTTGCATCTTACAAAGAAAGCAATTAAAGAAAATAAAGACGGTTTACTGCGTCAAAAATACGTAGACTAGCAGCTATATCATAGGCGATGTAAAAGAGGAAAAATGTAGAAACATAAGGGTGAAGAAACAACTAACAAGCATTTGAAGTGCACCATCTTTATTAATCTTGGGTCCTGGAATGCATCTAACGACGGCCTCAAACAGTGGGCCAAGATCATCGCCCAAATTTTCAGGTGATAGCCCTGCCTTTCCCTTGATACCACTGGCATATATTACCTGAAAATCACACTGCAAAAAGGAGGACAATGGGATAGATATCAAATCAAGCTCAACTGGTTAGTACTGGATCTTAATGCTAACGACTGGCAGGCATCTTCAATTAAGAAATGCATCTTTCAAGAATACCCAAACAACTCCAGAGAATGTTTTTTGAGTTCATTGTACAACTCTAAAATGATACTAATAAAGATTTTGACAATTAAGTTATCTCATGCTCTGCTGTTTTTTGTGAGACTAGCAGTAGTTACATACTTTTATCCTTTCAACATTATAGCAAGGGATTATACTTTTCACAAAATCTCAGAAAGAGCATGGAGAGCTATAGTTTTATTGCTATTCATGTTTTAGCCTTTTTCCTTTCTTTTTCTTGGGGAGGGCGAGGCTTGAAGTAGAGTAGTTGAATTGATATAAGATAAATGAAAAAGGTAATAAGGAGACATTTACTCTGAAAAAGCAGATCAAGACATGTACCTGTTCATCCGTTGCATTTAATTCGATGAAGAGTTCAAACGTAGAGTTAACGACAAATTCTGGACGAGCAGAAGGTCTATCAATTTTATTGACTACAACAACTACAGCATGGCCAAACTCCAGTGCCTTCTTCAAGACAAATCTTGTCTGGGGCATTGGACCCTCAACAGAGTCTACCTAAAAGTATACCGAAAATATCTTTTAGCAGGATGAATCCAAAAAGAACAGAGTTGTAAGTGGTTATTGAAAAAAAAAAAAA